CCGCTCGGAGCGCAGCAGCTAGTGCTAAGGCTCGGATCCCTGCGGCTTTCCCGGCGAGGGGGAGGAAGGAGCCCTGGGATTGGGCAGCCAATCTATAAAATCATCATTTTCCTCATAATAAAAATATTAATTTAAAGCTCTCGCCTCCTGCTTCGCGTTCTCTGGGTTGTAGCACAGAGGGAATTGCAGAATTCAAGAAGGAAAAGCCAGGATTTGATTTCTTTAGCTGGAGGGCAATGGAGGGAAAGGGAGCCCGGAGATATCCCGGGTGATCCAGAGCGCTCCGAGGCGCCTCCGGCTTCGCTCCGGCTCCCAATGGGAAGCGGCTCCCTAATTGCCAGGTCTCCTGCGCTGTCCCCTCGCCCGGACAACCGCGTCCCCCCGGGCAGCGATGGAAGAGCAGCCGTGCACGGAGCTCCCGGGAACGCCCGGATGGCGCCAAAGGAGGATGGAAGTGGCTGAGCGCTTGGAAGAGCCGGGATTTGGGAATGGGAGCCCCAAGAGCCGGAGTGGAAGGGAGCGGAGGAAATTCCCTGGGAAGAGCGCGGCAGGCGCCGCATCCCTCTCGCTCCTCTGGATTTGTAAAAATCCAGTCGTTTCAACCCCGTTTTTGGGAGCGGGAAGCGAATTGCAGCCAAAGGAGATCCCGGGGAAATCCGGCTCCCATCCACCACCTTCCAGCTGCTTCATCCACCCTCTCACCGGAGCCCAATTATCATCCCGGAAGCGGGATCCTCGCTTCCGTCCCGGGATCCGAGCGCGGGCGATCCCTGGGAACCCGGAGGCCGCTTCCCTATCAGACACTTCCATCTCCTTGGGCTACAGGTGCCAACTCCGGAACGGTGGGATCGGGGCCCTTCCACCCACCCCAGAGCGCGTGGCCGAAGAGGGAAAGTTTTCCCGTCCGGAGGAAACGCCGCCGGAGCGCTCCGGTGCGGGATGCGCGCGGAGCCGCCCGGCACGGCCGCTTCCATCGCTGCCCGGTGGCTCCCGGCTCTATCGCGCTCTGTGGGTACTTACCAGGATCTCACCCTTTAGGTGCGCAAAATTAACGGGGGGAAAGGAGGAAAAAGCAGGACAAGGAGACAGGAGAGGGACAAAAAACGAGGGGATGGACGGGAGGAGAGCGGGAAGCACAAAAAACGGTAGGAGGAAAGGAAAAAAAAAGCAGAAAACAGCAAAAGAAAAAGTTACATGCTATTAATTCAAATTTTCCAGTGTTAATATTTCATTATAATCTTTCCAAGCACGAGGCGGGATATCCCGCTAGGACTAACACCATGCGAGGGGGCGCTTCCAATCGCACTCCGATTGCCCGGAGAGCGATTCCCTCTCGGAGCGGGAAGGGACGGAGCGGAGGCCAACGCGGCTCCCTCGGCTCCCGCTGCCCCTTCCCTGGAAAGCTTCGGTTATTGCGGACCGGGAGCACGGAATTCCGCTGGCTCCTGCCCGGATGCGCCGCTTCCTAGGCATGTCCCAATCCCACCGTTTTTAGACGGAGCAACACGCTCCCAATGGCACGAGTCGGAGCTCGGCGTTCCCTGCCCCGGCAAATCCTGCTTTGTCTCGGGGAGGGCGTTTGCGCATCCGGCTTTCCGCTCGGAAGCGCGCTCGGAGCGGGAAGCGGGGGCCCTACCTGGTTGGGGATGGCTCTTTTCTTGTTGGTCTGCGTGTTCCGCTGCTGGGCACTGCAAGGAGAGCAGAGCGCGCA